GAACAGAGGCTATGCTGCTTCTTTCCCTGCCCAGGCCACATTTTCAAAGGACTTAGGTCATCACCAAATGATCACCCAGGGGGCCTCAACCACCTCTGCCACTTCTACCCTGCCCTGCCCCTGCCTCTGTTTGAAATCTTCTGCCTGGGAGATATATGCTTATTCACTTAGATTCTTTCTAAATTTCTATTTTGTTTAAACACTTCTATAATAAAATTGGCTGTTTTTAACTTTTTTTTTAAGAGTCTCGCTCTGACGCCCAGGATGGAGTGCAGTGGCATGATCTTGGCTCACTGCAACTGCCACCTCCCGGGTTCAAATGATTATCGTGGTTCAAGTCATTCTCCTGTCTCTGCTTTCTGAGTAGCTGGGACTACAGGCACCCACCACCACAACCAGTTAAGTTTTGTATATTTAGTAGAGAAGGGGTTTCAGCATGTTCGCCAGGCTGATCTCAAACTCCTGGGCTCAAGTGATCTGCCTGCCTCAGCCTCCCAAAGTGCTTGGATTACAATGCATGAGCCACAGGGCCCGGCCTTAACTTTTAAAAAAATAGAAAAAGAAAAACCAACCATGGCTCCAGAGCCCACAGGTATCCTGTGGAAGAGCTTGGAGGCAGGAAGATAGGGCTCCATCTCAACTCCACCAATTACAAACTGTGTGATCCTGGGCACAACACGGGCCTTCACCCCTCCACACTGCAGGAAGGAGTCAGTCAGCCAGACACAGCAAGCGCTCAGCAACTGAGAGGCTGTGATGGCCGCCGTTGCTGTGATTGCTATTATTCAAAGCAAAGAGGGGAGCTGCTGGAGGCAGTGGTGGGAAGCAGCCAGGGGTGAACGCAGCAGGCCTGGGTTGGCCAAACCCCGCACATTCCAAAGAAAGGACCGGCCCTTGACCAGCCTCTGGGATGGAACCTCTAAGTCCTTGAAATGTCCTGACTGTTAAGCTGTCTTCGTTTACCTGGGGCCTGGGGCCACACTGGATGCTCTATGCTGATGCTGTGATTCCTGTGGTCAGGCCTGGGGACACTTGGTATCAGTTTGACCTCTGGAGGGGCTGGAGTCTAAGGTCAGCTGTCATGCATAGTGACTGGCTCCCAATAAAAACCCAGGACACGGGCTTACAGGAGGGTCCCTGGTTGGCATTACTTCTTGTGCATTGTCACACATCTTGCTGGGAGAATTAAGTGCCATCCTTGACTCCACAGGGAGAGGACAACTGGAAGCTCATGCCTGGTCTGTCCTGTCCTGGATTCCATCCCATGTGCCTTTTTCGATTTGTTTTTGTTTTGTTTTGTTCTGTTTTTTGAGACGAAGTCTAGTTCTCAAAAACAAAAGAGTGAGTGCCATCTTGGCTCACTGCAACCTCTACCTCCCAGGTTCAAGTGATTCTCCTGCCTCAGCCTCCCGAGTAGCTGGGACTACAGGTGTGCGCCACCACACCCCACAGTAGTACCGTCTATTAATAGATGCTCCCAGAGTAGTTTCTCAGCCCAGACCTCTCCCTTTACTTCCAGTTCCACATATTCAAGTCCATCTTTCTACACGGTGTTCTAAAAGGCAGCTCAATGGATACAGAAAATATGGTCTCTATACACCGTGGAATACTAATCAGCCATAAAAAGGAAAAACAAAATGTCTCTTTTATTTATTTATTTTTTTGAGACGGAGTTTCCCTCTTGTTACCCAGGCTGGAGTGCAATGGCATGATCTCGGCTCACCGCAACTTCCGCCTCCTGGGTTCAAGCAATTCTCCTGCCTCAGCCTCCCGAGTAGCTGGGATTACAGGCACGCGCCACTGTGCCCAGCTAATTTTTGTATTTTTAGTAGAGACGGGGTTTCACCTTGTTGACCAGGATGGTCTCGATCTCTTGACCTCGTGATCCATCCACCTCGGCCTCCCAAAGTGCTGGGATTACAGGCGTGAGCCACCGCGCCGGGCCAAAATAATGTCTCTTACAGTAACTGGATAGAGCTGGAAGGCCATTATTCTCAGTCAAGTAACTCAGGAATGGAAAACCAAAAAGTCTATATTCCTGCTTATAAGCTAAGATATGAGGATGCAAAGACATACGGAGTGATATAATGGAGTTTGGGGACTCAGGGAGGGAGGGTGGGACAGGGCTGAGGAACTACGCACTGGGTACAGTGTACACTGCGCTATGATGGGCACACCAAAATCTCAGAATTCACCACAGTAGAATTCATCCATGTAACCAAAAAGCACATGTACCCCAAAAACTATTGAAATAAAAAATTTTTTTCGAGACACCGTCTAACTCTGTCACCCAGGCTGGAGCAGTGGTGCAATCTTGGCTCACTGCAACCTCCACCTCCCAGGTTCAAGGGATTCTCCTGCCTCAGCCTCCTGAGTAGCTGGGATTACAGGTTCCCACCACCATGCCTGGCTAATTTTTGTATTTTTAGTAGAGACGGGGTTTCACCACGTTGGTTAGGCTGCTCTCAAACTCCTGACCTCATGATCTACCCACCTTGGCCTCACAAAGTGAAATCAGATTTTTTTAATTAAAAAAGAATAGACCAGGTGCAGTGGCTCACAACTGTAATCTCAGCACTTTGGGAGGCCAAGGTGGGTGGATCACCTGAGGTCAGGAGTTCAAGACCAGCCTGGGCAACATGCTGAAACCCCATCTCTACTAAAAGTACAACAATTAGCCAGGGTGGTGATGCATGACTGTAATCCCAGCTACTCGGGGGGCTGAGGCACAAGAATCACTTCAGCCTGGGAGACGGAGGTTGCAGTGAGCTGAGATCACACCACTGCACTCCACTAGCCTGTGCAGCACAGTGAGTCTTTGTCTCAAAAAAAAAAAAAAAAAAAAATTAAAACAGAACAAATAAATAAATAGGCTGGGCAAGGTGGCTCACGCCTGTAATTCCAGCACTTTGGGAGGCCAAGGCGGGCAGATCACGAGGTCGGGAGTTCAAGACTAGCCTTGCCAACATGGTGAAATCTGTCTCTACTAAAAATATAAAAATTAGCCAGGCACAGTGGCATGCACCTGTAGCCCTAGCTGCTCAGGAGGCGGAGGCAGGAAAATCACTTGAACCAGAGAGGCAGAGGTTGCAGTGAGCCGAGATCGCACCACAGCACTCCAGAGTGAGACTCTGTCTAAAAAGAAATAAGAATATAAATAAATATGGCTGGGCATGGTGGCTCGTGCCTGTAATCCAAGCACTTTGGAGGCCAAGGCGGGGAGATCACCTGAGGTCAGGAGTTCAAGACCAGCCTGACCAACATGGTGAAACCCCATCTTTATAAACTAACTAACTAAATAAATAAAAGGTAGCTCAAATTCCTAAGCCCAGAACTGTGCCCTCAGTCCTCCCTGCAGCTCTCTCTCAGCATCCCACCACAGTCTTCCACATCTCAGTACATGGCAGCTGCATCCTCCAGGAGGCTCAGGCCAGACAGCTGGAGACACACCCTGGACTCCTCTCTTTTCCTCCCCACCACATCCCGGCAGCCAGCACATCAGCAAAACACTGATGCCTTCCAACACCACCAGCATCTGAGCATTTTCCACCATTTCCACTGCTATTACCCTTGTCGGAGCTTCCATTATCTCTCACCTAGACAAATATAATAGACTCTTTAATAGATGTCCTTGCCTCTGACAGTCTGTTCCCTACATCGCAGCCAGAGAAATCCTGTTAACACCTAAATCCGCTGCTCACATCTCTCCTCAGCTCAGAGCCCTACCCCCCATGGCCCCTGGCTCACTCAGGGTCAAAGCAAGGTCCTGGGCCGGGCGCAGTGGCTCAGGCCTGCAATCCCAGCACTTCGGGAGGCCAAGGCAGGTGGATCACTTGAGGTCAGGAATTCAAGACCAGCCTGGCCAACATGGTGAAACCAACTCTCTACAAAAAAACATGAAAATTAGCAGGGCGAAGTGGTGGACACCTGTAGTTGCAGCTACTCGGGAGGCTAAAGGAGGAGACTCACTTGAGCCTGGGAGGCGGAGGCTGCAGTGAGCCGAGATTTCGCCACTGCACTGCAGCCTTGGCAACAGAACAAAACTCCATCTCAAAAACAAAACAAAACAAAACAAAAAAACAAAGCAAGCTCAGAATTGATGACTTTTTTGGAGCTGTAAAAAAAAAAAAAGAAAAAAGAGCAAGGTCCTCACGGTGGCCCACAAGGCCCAGTGCCATCTGTCCCCATCTCCTCTGCACTCATATCCCACCCTCCCTGCTCTTTCACTCTCGGGCAGCCACAGTGGCCTCCTCACTGTTCAACACCAGGTCCCCGCTCACCTCAGGGCCTTTGCACTCGCTCTTCCATCTGCCGGGAACATCCTCCCTCTCCAGACATCCATCAGGCTGGGTCCCCTTCTTCACTAAGCGTTTAGTCCACTTGTCACCTCCTCCGGAGCCCTTCCCCACCCACCCTGTCTGAAACAGGCCCCACCTCATCCCTCTTTATCTCACTACTCCGCTTCATTGTTCATGGCATTTATCACCACCAGGCATCATATATATGTTTATATATTTTTTGAGGCGGAGCTTTGATCTTGTTGCCCAGACTGGAATGCAATAGTGCGATCTCAGCTCACTGCAACTTCCACCTCCCAGGTGCAAGCGATGCTCCAGCCTCAGCCACCTGAGTAGCTGGGATTATAGGCATGTGCCACCACAACCAGCTAATTTTGTATTTTTAGTAGAGACGGGATTTCTCCATGTTGGTCAGGCTGGTCTCAAACTCCTGACCTCAGGTGATCTGCCCGCCTCAGCCTCCCAAAGTGCTGAGATTACAGGCGTGAGCCACCGCACCTGGCCATATTTTATATTTATTTAATTCCTTGTCTCCTCAGCTGGAATGTCGGCTCCATGAAAGTGTCACTGCATCTGTCCTGTTCACTGCTGAATCCCCAGCACTTAGAATAAGGGTCAGACTCCAAGAAGGTGTCAGGGAAATTTGCTGAATGAGCAGATAAGTGAACAAGCACCACAGGGCTGGAGGGGCCCTGTACTCACCTGCAGCCGGGCCAGGATTTGGTGGTAGTGGAACAGGGTGCAGAAGTCCACGTGGGCTGAGAACGCCTCCAAAGCTGCCTTCTCTGCTGGACTTGAGTGGAATTCCTGTTACCTCAGGAAGGAAAACTTCTCTGTAGGCCTTTTCCCCTTCCCCGAGGGGAGGAATTCTTTCCCCAGGCAGCCTATCTACTGTAGGTCTTTCCCCTTCCCCGAGGGGAGGAATTCTTTTCCCAGGCAGCCTATCTACACCAGAGCTCTAGACTTTTAAGTTTTGTTCTGGGTCAGGCACAGTGGCTCATGCCTGTAATCCCAGCACTTTGGGAGGCCAAGGTGGGTGGATCACTTGAGGTCAGGAGTTCAAGAGCAGCCTGGCCAACACGGTGAAATCCCTTCTCTACTAAAAATACAAAAATTAGCCTGGCGTGGTGGCGTGCACCTGTAATCCCAGCTACTCGGGAGGTTGACACTGGAGAATCGCTTGAACCAGGGAGGTGGAGGTTGCAGTGAGCCAAGATCACACCACTGCACTCCAGAGTAGGCAACAGCAAGATTCTATCTCAAAAAGAAAAAGAAAAAAATGTTTTGTTTCAGTTGGGAGGGGGCTGATCTATTCTACTCAAACTGAGGCAGCCCAATATATTGAAGAACTATATTGGGTTTAAGAAGCTGGAGGTTCAAGTTTTTCCTTTGACACTTCCTAGCCAAAACTCACACAATGCCAGGAACTGTCTGACAGTGTAATATGATCTTCTAGAAGGAGATGAAATTATTATTATATTGAGACAGGGTCTCATTCTATCACCCGGGCTGGAGTTCATTGGCACGATCTCAGCTCACTGCATCTTCAACCTCCTGGGATCAAGCAATCCTCCCACCTCAGCCTCCTGAGTAGCTGGTACTACAGGCGCCCACCACCATGCCTGGCTAATTTTTTACAATTTTTGGTAGAGGTGGGGATCTCACTATATTGCCCAAAGTGCTGGGAGGCTGAGCCACAATACCTCATAGGCTGATGGAATTATAACCTCTATTTTTCAGAAGGAGAAACTGAGGCTCTGGAAAGTCACTTGGTGTAAGTGTCTGTGGGAGGTAACTGCCATCTAGGCCTGCCTCCAGAGCACACATTGAACCACTTCTTTTTGTTTTTTTTGAGATGCAGTCTCACTCTGTTGCTGAGGCTGGAGTGCAGTGGCACGATACCAGCTTATGCAACCTCCACCTCCTGAGTTCCAGCAATTCTCCTGCTTTGGCCTCCCGAGTAGCTGGGATTACAGGCATCTGCCACCATGCCTAGCTAATTTTTGTGCTTTTTTGTTTTGTTTTGTTTTGTTTTGTTTGAGACGGAGTTTTGCTCTTGTTACCCAGGCTGGAGTGCAATGGCGCGATCTCGGCTCACCGCAACCTCCGCCTCCTGGGTTCAGGCAATTCTCCTGCCTCAGCCTCCCAAGTAGCTGGGATTACAGGCACGCGCCACCATGCCCAGCTAATTTTTTGTATTTTTAGTAGAGACGGGGTTTCACCATGTTGACCAGGATGGTCTCGATCCACCCACCTTGGCCTCCCAAAGTGCTGGGATTACAGGCTTGAGCCACTGCACCTGGCCTTTTTTTTTTTTTTTTTTTTTTGAGATGGAGTCTTGCTCTGTCACCCAGACTAGAGTGCAGTGGCCTGATCTCGGCTTACTGCAAGCTCTGCCTCCCAGGTTTAAGAGATTTTTCTGCCTCAGCCTTCTGAGTAGCTGAGACTACAGCTATACGCCACCAAGCCCAGCTAATTTTTTTATAGTTTTAGTAGAGTTGGGTTTTCACCATGTTGGCCAGGCTGGTCTTGAACTCCTGACCTCAGGTGATCCACCTGCCTCAGCCTCCCAAAGTGCTGGGATTACAGGCATGAGCCACCGTACCCCACCTTGAACCACTTCATTATGTTTCCTATCTCAATATCCTGGGTAATTGTCTTCACTTCTCTGAGCCTCAGTTTCCTCACTGGCAACAGAGGATTTCACCCTCTTTCTCAGAGGGCTACAGTGAGAATTTGATGAGATTACAGGTGTCCTGTATACACGTGTTTACATATGTGTGCATATATTTGCATATTTATGTGTGTGTATATTTGTGTATTTTTGTGTGCATATTTGTGTGTGCATGTTTGTGTATGTATGTGTGCATATTTGTGTGTGTATATTTGTGCATGTGCATTTGTATGTGTGTATTTGTGTATACATCTTGGTGTATTTGTGTATTTGCTTGCAAATCCTTGTGTGTGCATATATTTGTGTTTGTCAAGCCTATAGTTGAGTACATACAGCAGGTGTTCAATAAGTACATGTTAAATGAATGAATGATGGTTGGGTGTGATGGCTCACACCTGTAATCCCAGCACTTTGGGAAGCCAAGGTGGGCAGATCACTTGAGGCCAGGAGTTTAAGACCAACCTGGACAACACGGTGAAACTCTGTCTCTATTAAAAATACAAAAATTAGCCAGGCGTGGTGGTGGGTACCTGTAGTCTCAGCTACTCAGGGGGCCGAGACAGGAGAATCACTTGAGTCCAGGAGGCAGAGGTCACAATGAGCTGAGTTTGCACCACTGCACTCCAGTCTGGGCAAGAGTGATACACTGTCTCAAAAAAATAAATAAATAAGGCCAGGTGTGGTGGTTCACACTTCTAATCCTAGCACTTTGGGAGGCCAAGGTGAGTAGATCATGAGGTCAAGAGATGGAGACCATCCTGGCCAACATGGTGAAACCCGATCTCTACTAAAAATACAAAAACTATCTGGGCATGGTGGTATGCACCTGTAGTCCCAGCTACTCAGGAGGCTGAGGCAGGAGAATCACTTGAACTCAGGAGGCGGAGGTTGCAGTGAGCCGAGATCACACCACTACACTCCAGCCTGGCGACAGAGCAAGATGTCTCAAATAAATAAATAAATAAAATAAAAATAAATGAATGGATGACCATCCTCAATAAAGACAGGTATGATGACGATGGTGGTGGTAAGAGCTCAGGTTCTGGAGTGAGACCAGGACTAGGATGAGGTGAATGTGGCACCCTATGGTGCAAAATTTAATGGGTAACTCACTCTCAGGGTCAAGCAAATGCCTCACTTACCTAGTCTGACTCTAGAGCTGGCCTAGTCCTGGGCCAGCTCTAGAGTCAGACCACTTTGGTTCAAATTTAAGCCACTATGCTTGTGGCACTGGGTAAATTACTTTCCTTCCATCTGTTTCTATTATCTCATTGGGGATGATGGTGGTATCTCTGTTACTGATGATTCAACAATACATGAAAAATGCCTGGCACCGTGTCGTAGAGTCAGAGCTCAAATCGTGTGATAACAATTACGATTATAGCATTGTGACTTTATAGGTACAATTATTATCAGGCAGCAGAAATAGTAATCATGAGGATGATTACTATACCCATCTTACAGAGGGAAAAACCATGCCCCAGAGGGTGCCTGTTTAAGTCCTCAGAACAAGCCAGAGTCGGAATGGATGCTGCATCTGCATCTCGGAGGCCTGGCTCCACCATTCCATCTCATCAACTCCTGCCCACTAGGGACCACAAAGGGACCCGGGAACTTCAACTCCCAGGAGGACCCAGGGCAGTTCTCCGCAGCAATTAAGGCCCTGCCGCCGCGAGGCCTGCTGGGAGTCGTAGTCACCAGGCTCTTGGACCCGGGACGGGCGGTACCTGTATTAGGAGGCGGAGCAGCTGCTCCTTGGAGAAGGGAATGAAGCGCTCGCGGTACTGCTGGGCCCAGTCGCGGGGCTCTGTGGGGTTCCACATCTTGCGATACTCCCCCATCTTGGCCGCCAGCGATGAGAGGGTCCGGGGGGGCCCGAGGACCGTGGGCAACAGTGGCAATACTCGGACCCTGGACCCCCAGACCCCCCGGGTCACATGCAGCATGGCTAGACCCTTTCCCCGGAGCCTAAACAGAGGGAAATGGGCAGGGGTCAAAGGCCATCTAGAGGAAAAGCGCCCTTTCCACCTCCACTTCCCACCCTCCAGAAGCCGTCCCTACCCCAGGCAGGGCGCAGAGCTCATTCGCTCGCCTTGAGGCCCCTCTTGCCCGTCCCCTTCCCACACTGCTCAGTTGGCCTGGGTCCCAGACAAGGGTCAGAGGTCTCATGTTCTGGGGCGTTTTGCAGACCCAGGGACCTTGTAGTGGCATAACGTTTCTTCGGGGTCTAGACAGCAAGGTAGATCTTAAGAGAACAGGAAATGCTCGGGAAGGTTACCTAGGGGGTGCAGGGCCACCCTCCCTGGCCATGCAATCCCCCGCTCTCTCCCTCACCTTAGCCAAAGCGTGACTGTCATTGAGCCTCCTGCGCATGTGCAGAAGGGTGTCCTGGGCTCTCGAGGTTCGGCTTCAGCCAGCAGTAAAACGCATGCGCAAAGCCTGGGTCAATGCGCTCTGTCCATTCTCCCTGCCGACTCGCTATGTCAACTACGCATGCACCAGCTGCTTCTCTTTCTCTACCACAGGCCTCTTTTTGGGCGCGACGCATGCGCCGCAGGAGTGTCTCCTTGTCCGCTTGCTTCAAAGGGAAGGGGCGGAGTGCGCTCGAGACTCCCGAGAGGAGTGGGGCGGGACAGAGCTCCCGCGCGCAGTCAGCCAACGGCGCGCTGCCCAACGTCCACCGAGGCCACGCCCCTGCTCGTGTCAGCTCCTGAGGTGGAAAGAGGGAGGGGGCGGGACTTGGGAGCAGCCAATCAGCTGTGGAGGAGCGAAAAGGCGGGAAAAAGCGGAACCAAAAGAAGGCTGAGGTGGCGCCAGGGACCAGGGCGGGTGGGCAGGCGGAAGGAAGGCTGGGCCCCCAGACGACGCAGATTGGCCCTCCAGAGAAGGGGCGGCCCTTTGTCAGGCGGCGTCACTCCCAAACCCCAGCACTCCTATTCCAGGTCCTTAAAGAGGAGACTGCGATACTAAGAAGGTAGCCCAGTGCCGAGGCCTGGCCTCATTCTAAGGTTTCCCGCAAATCCGAGGCCCCGACTCCCAGCTTGGGGAAGTGCACTTTCATGAAAATGGAGCTGAATTCGAAAGGGAGGCCCCTATTCTGGGAAACAGCCCCAAATGACAGGGAAAGGCTGAAAAGTGCCCTGATGCCTGGGTTCTCCATGATGGGTGCTGTCACCCCTAAGCCTAAAAGGGATTCTTCGCGTTCAGACCTCCCAGGGGCTCTGACCTCAATGGCAGCACCCCCTAGTCCCCAGAAAATCCCACCTGTGTCCTCTCACAGAGGGACCCCATCCTTCTGCGACCCCTTCTGCTCCTGGGTCACAGGATGTAGTCCCCAAATATGCCAGCCCTCCCCTGCACTCTACCTCTGGGACCCCTGGCAGCCCTCTCACCCCACAATCCCCTCAGCCCACATTCCTGATTTCTGGAACATGAAGCAGTCCCTTCACTTAGTCCCCCATTCCTAGAACCCCCAGAATCCCCCTCATCCCAGGCCCTCACCTCTCTGGAATCATCCATAGACCCCTTAACCCACACCTCAACTCAGGGCACCGTCAGCAACTCACCCTGCACCACCACCTCTCCAACCCCCAGCAACCCTCCCACCCAACACAACCCCATTCCTGGGAACCCCCCCATACCCCTATCCTATGCCTCCCACTCCTGGGGCTCCCAGAAGCCCCCTCAAGACACAACCCCATTCCCTGCAACCCACTTGCACCCCCATCCTATGTCCCCTACTTCTGGGGCCACTGGCAGCCCCTTCACCCCACACTCTCCTAAGAGGCCCAGCATCCCCCTCACCTCACACAACTTTATTCTGGGGACTCCCCCGTACATCCCGACCCCATGTCCCCCAATCCTGGGACCCCTGACAGCCCCTCCACCTGCGCCCCTGACTGGCATCCTCCATCTGTGTCATCCCACAGCAGCGGAGCCCAGGGCCAGCCTGGAGTCCCAGACAGCAGCGTCCAGCAGACAGTGGCCAGCACCCCAGCTCCCAGTGCCCCCAAAGGAGAGCAGCTGCCATGCACATCCCAGAAAGCCTCCAGGACCTGGCCAGCAGCAAAGCCGTGCAGTTTCTGAAGAGGCCCAAGACCATCACTCGGGTCTTCGAGGGGGTGAGGCCCTCCCCTGGCCCACCTGTGCCCCTGGGTGACAGGAGCCAGGAGCTCTCCCAGACACAGTGTGGGAGGAGGGGGGCAAGGAAGGGGTCAGACGAGGAAACAAAGCAACAGGGACCAAATGCTGACGCCACCTTTACCCGAGCACCCCACTATGGGCCCAGTGCTATAGAGGCACTTATGGACTCTCATAGTAAGGAACAGGACTCAGAGTAGGTGCCACGAGTCCCGTCTCTGAGACAAGAAAACTGTGGCTCAGAAAAGTTAAGTAATTTTTTTTTTCAAAACAGTCTTAATTACCCAGGCATAGTGGTGCACACTTGTAATCCTAGCTATCAAGGAGGCTGAGGCAGGAGAATTTCTTGAACCTGGGTGTCAGACGTTGCAGTGAGCGGAGATCATACCCCTGTACTCCAGGCTGGGCAACAGAGCCAGACTCCATCTCAAAAAAAAAAAAAAAAGAAAGAAAGAAAAAGAAATAAACAGTTTCACTATGTCACCCAGAGTGCAGTGGCTTGATCTCGTCTCACTGCAACATTCACCTCCTAGGTTCAAGCGATTCTCCTGCCTCAGCCTCGAGAGTAGCTGAGATTAAAGAATTAAAAAGATAGGGTTTCGCCATGTTGCCCAGGCTGGTCTCGAACTCCTGATGTCAAGTGATCTGCCCACCTCAGCCTCCCAAAATGCTGAGATTACAGGTGTCAGCCACTGCACCCAGCCTAAGTAAATTTTTAAAATCTGGGCTGTCCAGTGGGGTAGCCACAGCCACATGTGACTACCTCCCTTTGCACTAATTAAAAATAAGATCCAGTCCGCATGCAGTGGCTCACGCCTGTAATCCCAGCACTTTGGGAGGCCGAGGTGGGTGGCTCACCCGAGGTCGGGAGTTTAAGACCAGCCTGACCAACATGGAGAAACCCCGTCTGCTAAAAACACAAAACTAGCCAAGCGTGGTGGCATGAGCCTTAGTCCCAGCTACTTGGGAGACTGAGGCAGGAGATTGACTTGAACCTAGTAGGCAGAGTTTGTCATGAGCCAAAATATTGTGCCACACTACTCCAGCCTGAGCAACGAGCGAAACTCTGTCTCTAAAAAAAAAAAAACAGTCCATTCTTCAGTCACAGTGGCCACATTTTACATGCTCAGCAGCCACATGTAGCTGGGGACTCTCAAATTAGACAGTATAGGCAAGGTGTGGTAGTCCACACCTGTTATCCCAGTACTTTGGGAGGCCAAGGCGAGCAGATCACGAGGTCAGGGGTTCGAGACAAGCCTAACCAAAATGGTGAAACACCGTCTATACTAAAAATATAAAAATTAGCCAGGCATGGTGGCAGGTGCCTGTAATCCCAGCTACTCAGGCGGCTGAGGCAGGAGAATCGCTTGAGCCCAGGAGGCAGAGGTTGCAGTGAGCTGAGATTGAACTGCTACACTCCAGCCTGGGCAACAGAGCGAGACTCCATCTCAAAAAAAAATTAGCCAGGCGTGGTGGCGCAAGCCAGTAGTCCCAGCCCCCGCTTAGGGGGCTGAGACTCGAGGATGCCTTGAGGTGGCAGAGGTAGCACTCCAGCCTTGATGACGGAGTGAGACTCCATTTCAAAAAAAAAAAATTATTGTCGATATGGAACATTTTCATTACTATGAGATAGCATAGGCTAAGGTCATGCAGTAAAAGGCAGGGAGGGGCAGGATTCAAACTCAGATCTGTGAGATGCCAGAGCCCAGTTGAGGGAGGAGGAGGAGAGGAACAGGGGCTGGGGCCTCTAGGAAGAGCATGAGGAATGCAGACCTGAAGTACCAGATGTGGGGTGGTCACTGTGTGCTGGGCACTATGCCAGCATTCATTTCATCATCACCACATTCCCGAAGAATCTGGCCACTGGAGTCAAATCCTCACGCAGCCTAGACTTTGCTGCGTGATCTTGAGCCAATCGCTGCTCGTCTCTGGACGTCTCTGGACTTCAGTACATGAAGGGTTGGGGCTGTGGCTCTGAGCTTTCACCTGTGCTGCTTCCATTGTTCTCCTTTAATAGAATTGGAAACTGAGGCCCAGGGAGATGATGGGACTTGATTGAGGTATTGGAAGTAGGTGGGGTTCCCCGGCTGAAACCCAGGGTCTCCACTCCCAGATTCCTTATCCAGAGTATCTCCTCTCGGCCCCTTCTAGAGCCTCAGGTTGGAGAAGGAACAAACAGGCCTGGAATCCTGGCTCAGCCATGTGCTGTCCTTGCAAAGTGGCATACTGCCCAGTTTATACCTGGGCCAGGCCTGGCGTAATTACCAGTAGCAGCACCTTTCATTAGCAGCACCTTTCATTCTCTCGCTCTCTTTTTTTTTAAAGATGGGGTTTCACCATTATGGCCAGGCTGGTCTTGAACTCCTAACCTCAGGTGATCCACCCACCTCGGCCTTCCAAAGTGCTAGGATTACAGGCGTGAGGCACCGAGCCCGGCCACACACCTTTCATTCTCAAAAGTGCCCTTTTTGTTTGATGGCCTGCATGGTCACCCTATGTCTGTGTGACGTTGAGCAAGTTACTTGATTTCTCTCAATGTCTCCATGCTCTCATCTGTGAAAAGAAGATCCTAATGCCCTACTCCTAGAAAGGACGGTTGTGAAATGAAACAAATGAATGCCTGTAAACTGATTAGCATGGGCAGGGCAAGTAATCTTTCCTTAGTGACTTTTTTTTTTGAGACTTGAGTCTCGCTCTGTCACCCAGGTTGGAGTGCAGTGACGCCACGTCGATTCACTGCAACCTCCGCCTCCTGGGTTCAAGTGATTCTCCTGCCTCAGCCTCCTGAGTAGCTGGGATTGCAGGCACATGCCACCACACTTGGCTAATTTTTGTATTTTTAGTAGAGAAGAGGTTTCACCATGTTCGTCAAGCTGGTCTCAAACTCCTGACCTTGTGATTGGCCCGCCACAGCCTCCCAAAGTACTGGGATTACAGGTGTGAGCCACTGCACCTAGCCTATTTTTTATTCTTTTCTTTTTATTTATTTATTTATTTTTTGAGACAGAGTCTTGCTCCGTTACCCAGGTTGGAGTGCAGTGGTGTAATCTCAGCTCACTGCAACCTCCACCTCTCAGGTTCAAGCAAGTCTCATGCCTCCCAAGTGAGGGATTACCAGCGTGCGCCGCCACACCCGACTAATTTTTGTGTTTTTAGTAGACATGGGGTTTCGCCATCTTGGCCAATCTGATCTTGAACCCCTGACCTCAAATGATCCACCCACCTTGGCCTTTCAAAGCCCTAGAATTACAGGTGTGAGCCACCGCGCCCGGCCTTAAATAGGGATTATTATCAAAACAAATCATTACTTGTGAGTGAGAAGAGGGCCTAGGA